CTCCTCCTCCTCCTCCTCCTCCTCCACGTCTTGCTTCTCCTTCTCTTCCCCACTTGAATTCTCCATCGTTTGTTGCATCGCGCACGCTCTTTCTCGAGCTGCTTCGATAGATGTGTAGCTCACTTCCGAGTCTATAGAACAGGTACGCGCGTTATTTTGCGTTAGTTAAATAACCGCATTCGATTTCGATATCTCGGACGGTCGAATTTGCCCAAGCTACGCGCAAATATCAGAGAAAATTTTGAAAGGCGTCCAAAGAACGAAAATCGAGATTAAAACGCCTCATGAGACACTCTTGATCTTTGCACTTTACGTTTGTGTAAAAGTAAGCTAGTTTTCCCCCCCAAAATTAATTTTTTTATTCGAAAATGTGTGCGCAAGTAATTGATGGATTGGATTTATCTTTGATAAACGATTAACAGTTCATAAATGGTTGTCATTTTAATTTTGGGAACATCGCCATGATTTGTTAGCCGTCAAAATGCCACGTGTTCTTTCCGCAAAAAAAAATAGAAAGCGATTTCTCGGATATCGAAACAACGGTGTGTCTTTCAATGAGTCGTTCGATACCGTTCGAGGAATTTAACGCGATAAATTCGCTTAACGCGTTCGCGCGACCCGATTGCCTCTGAACGCATCTGGTCACGATTACCCGCCAAGCAGCCGCGAACGGTATATCGTAGGCCACGTAGATAGAGGAACATACAATCTCGTAATTCACGGCTCGCGCGCGTTTTAGAGTTAGAGCTCTATGAGTACGTGCAAAACGTGTCGTGGGGTGGCTCGCAGGAAGGCGTTTCGCCGAGAATTCCAAAGTCAAGCCGCGAGAAACTTCGCGAGCTCGCGGCCGTTCCGCCCGTCCGTCCATCCGTCGTTTCGAATTTAGAACAGACAGCGTTCAAACGTTTCTTTATGGTTGCTGTTGTTGCTGGTGCCGCTGCACCGACCCTTCGCGGATAAAATAGCGGTTCGTCGAAACGAGACTCGCGGCTGTCTTTATTTACATCGCTCCCTCCTCTTAACTTGGCCTTTATACCTTTTCCGTTCCACCTTTCCTTTTTCTCCGCGATGGCATGAAAGAGACGAACTTTTTTCGAATCACTATCAGCTTATAGTCACAATTATCTTCTGATGCGATAGTTTCCCTTGCACCTCTCCCTTCCCTTGTTTTTCTTTCTCACTTTCTTTCTTCTGCTGCTTTCTGTTATATCGTTTCTTCTTTATCTTGTTGCGTTCATTAATTAAGAAACGAATCCTGCGAAGCTCGTTTGCAAGAGTGTTTAACGAACGATGTACCAAGTGTTTTAAGTAGGGTAGATTGAAAAATTCTTCAAGAGTAACGTGAAAGCGATACCAGGAGATGTATAGAGCGATAAATATGAAAGAACAATCATTTTGGAGTATGAATTAACCAAAAACGAATATCCAAAATTTGAATGTTTGTTAACTTTGTGCATTTGTGAGAGACAACAATAAATCTATCAGTTTTTTTATCTTTGTAACTTTTTTACACTCGCTTTGCTTTTCCATTTACTCCAGCCAAGCCTGTTTCCGCCTAAACATCTGCCCCGTTCCACGTTCGAGATGAATCTGAGGAAAACATGTTACTTAAAACACCTTTCTAAGACGCTTCGAACTATCTTGCTTTTTTATTTATGGTGAAAGGAAATGTTCTACGGAAATTGAATACGCAGCTACTGAGCCTCTTACTTATAGAACGATACAACTAGTCTCGACAAACCCGATATGTGATGAATTGCGCACGATTTACCGGTAGTATTAATGCGTAATTAAGATAGTCGACATCGGCCCCACATATTCGATCGCACACGTTTAGGTAACTTCAACGAGCCGCCTGTATCTTAGCATGCCTTGCGATACTCGAGTGCTAAGTTACCGCACCATTTCCGCGATTATTAGCGACGGTGGGCGCTGTATCTCATCGTTATTAGTATCTTGTTACACAGATAATTAAGACCCCGCAAATAATGAAAGGAAGTATTATCCGGCGTTACTTTCGAGCATTAGACACAACCTAGAAAAAAGAAACGTAACTCGAATCGAAGTTTGGGTTCTCAGTTTATCACTGTAAATTCCGCTGGACTTGAAGGATCAATTGAAAATCTCGAAATGCAACACTATCTAAACTATCGTCCTACATTGATACAATAAATGTTCATTTATGCTTTCTTCACATTGATGCTTAAAGAAAGACATTATATAATTATCTAATATTTGTTTATCTCGACATTCCACTTGCATTTTATTTTACTTGTACTGTTAATTTCAATATATAGCATATTATGACTTTTTCAACTTCAGATAGAACATAGAGAGATAAGCAAATATTAAATAATTAATATAAATACATATAAATAAACAGGGAAAATTTTCCTTATTTTGTCTTTGGTTCCCAAACAATTTTCCTTTTACCTAGAATTTCTATATCCTATCGAAACTTTTTAACATCAATAAAAAATAAAAAATGATGAGGGTATTTGAATAAAATTTTCCTTGTTTACCCATTGATTCCATTGTATGCTCATAATAATAATTGGTTTAATTTTTTAAGATCAAAAAAAGACTGAAAACAATAATTAGAATATTATTTTTCATGTTAGAAAATTTCGATAGAATTTAGAGATTCTAAAAAGATAAAATTGTAAAGGACAAGGATAGAAGTCGTATGTTCAATAATGCTGCGCATCAATAGAGATTGGTAGTAGATTCTAAGGTCAGTTTTTATGGTTATAAATTGATTATGATCTTTGATCATTGATTGATAAATTGATTACGATCCAATTAATATTCATGGATCGTTATTCAGCTGTTTGCATCAGCGTTTCTTGGTATATGAAATAAATATACGTATAAATTGACGAGTAATCAAAGTGAGAGAGAGAATTTTGCGAAATCGTAATATCTATCAAATAACAACGCACTATATATGAATACTTAAATTTCGAGAGAGTATCTCCTTATTCTCAACGTACTCATCAAACTATTAAAATCGAAAACCTGTATAATAAACTTGACATATTTGGAAATATACGATATATCGCACTAGCTGTGTCCAACATCCTCTATTCTGGCTCCCCCTCCTCCCCCGATTCAACGTCCTGGCCTCCAGCTGCTCCATTGTGGCATTCCGGTTACTTCCTCATGGCACTGACATCGACATTGGCATTGACACTCGCGTAGATACGACGAGAATTTTTGTCGGAGAAACACGTGTCACAATTAACGCAATGCCGGCGATTAAATATTCCTAGAAGCGACGGGAATATCGTATATACGCGATCGAGATATTCAGTCTGCACAGTGGTGTGCGTCGCGCTCGCCGGCCCGGAACATAATAACATTTCGCTCGCGGAAAATTACGCGACAATGCCAAAACAATGGGCAAAAAGGGCGACGCTATGCCGCCCAACATCGTCACCTCACGGATGGATAGTCGCAGAAATCACAATAATCATCGCTATCAAAGCATTCTGGAATCTCGTAGCGGTCAATGTTACTTTTGTGTGTTTCATTGCGTTACAAACCGGCGAACGATACGACACACAGTGAACGATTTGACTATCTTTCGGGGCAAAAATCTGTTCCGCCACAATTTTTTACCAATCGTAATAATTATTTTTGCAAATTACTCGTTAGACTTCCAGTTTTAATAACTACTTGCTACAAATTGCGGAAACGCTGTTATTTTTTTGTGGTCTTACAATAGAAGATGAAAAAACTTTGTTGTACAAAGTCAATCGTCATACATGCAAAAAATGATTCGGTTGGCATAACCGAATTTCAGTTACGACAACCAAAATTTTCGGTTCCTCAAGAATTAACTGAAAAATCGGTTGCTACAAAAAAGAAATCCTGTTGGAAAGTTTCTGTTGTGCCAAACATATATTCGGTTATCCCGAATTGAAATGTTGTGAAAGATACAAATTTCGTTTGTCCCAACCTATACTTCAATTCATACATGAATATTTCAGCTATTAGGAATAGATTAATATTTAACAAAATATATATTCCTAGTTTTTTCATATTCCTTAGTTTTTTCATCTCTTATAAACTACTACGATATCGAAGGTTGTCAAACACTCCAAAGCTTTCGTGAATCCTCCCCCCCCGAAAATTACGACCCCAAGCGGTATATACCACCAGGTCACCACCCATTCATGCCTAACTCCGTTAAAGTGTTGCTTAACCTGACGATCGAGCGGTACGCAGCGATTCTCGATGACTCCAACGATATTCTTACGACTTATGCTTATATAATGTATCCTTATGATATACATGTTCACAGTATATTATAACATACCTAGCAAACACTAAATAATAATTATATAATTTTTACTTGATGTTTGTTAGATAATTTGCTGATAGGTATTGGAACAATGCAACAACATTCGATACGTGAATATTAATATAGTGTAGTGAATCGGTAGTAATTACTTTTAAATTTTTAACAGAATGTTATAATGATTAATCCAAACAAACAGAAATAAAAAAATTCAAGAAAATCCAAATTAAACAAATCGAATTACTAAATTTCGAAAGAAACTTTTAAAAAATACTACTTAAAACAATAGTGTTATTTTATCAAATGACATGGTTTCCTTGAACGAAAGAAAGGTTTTACGAAAATATGGCTTATCTAACAATACGGATCACTATTCATAGCAGCAACATTCAACTATTCTTTCAACCAAATCTTCTCGGTTTCGGTAACCTTGATGTTGTTTCTTGTTGCTGTGTACCATTCAATCTGATATTCTCTGTGAGAACAACAGAATAATCATTTGCGACAACCATTTTTTTGGAACGGAAAATTTTAGTTCCTTCAATCAAAAGCAATCGTTGATGTGAATAATTCTTCAGTTATTGGAACAGATTTTTCTGTTATTGCAACTGAACCTCGTCTAACAGAAAGTTTCTAGCTGTCACTACAGAATATTTTTTGCGTGTAGAACATAATGTATGATATAGCATGAGGTAAAATATAAAGAAATATAAATGAAATCGAGTGGCTACAAAATCCTAAATCTTAAACCTTTAAACCCTAAGTCCTTGAACTTTTCAACCCTAAGCACTAAATCCTAAAATCCAAAATTTTGAAACTGTAAATTCTAGGTCCTTAAACCTAACGTTTATGTAGCCACTCGATTTCATTTATATTTCCTTACATTTTACTTTATCTTACATTTTACATTATATCTACGTCAAGTTCTATGACGATTGGCTTTGTATAACAAAGCCGTTCGAATTTCTCATACTTCTTTGGCGTTTTTTCATGTTCTATTGTAAGACCATAAGAAAATAACAGCGTTTCCGCAATTTGTAGCAAGTAGCTGTTAGAACTGAAAGTCCAACGAGTTATTTGCAAAAAGAATTGGTAAAATATTGTGACGGAATAGATTTTTGCCCCGAAAAGTAGTCAAATCGCTCATTGTGCGACGGTGCACGTGTGTCGATACGTTAGTTATTATTTCTCGCGGCTCTGATCAAAATATTTCGTCGACTCTCGAAATATTTAATCGGGCTCTCATCGGCATCGCGTTAATTAGCTCACGTAACACCGATCGAATCGTATCTCACGTGAGTGAATCAGTGTCAGTGCCATGAGCGAATGTCGCGACAGAGCAGCTGGTAGTCTGGACACTGAAATCGGGAAGCCAAGATGAAGGACGCAAAACACTGAAACACGTACGGTATCACATGTTTTCAGGTACATGAAATTATTTTTTATACAAAAAGTTTATTATTTTAATGACTGTTTGAGGAACATAGCAAAAATAGGAGAACACACAAAACTTCGACCCATATTCATAGTCTATTATTATTAGACAAGTAATGAAAGCTCTAAATAAATCTCTGATTATTCGTCAATCTGCACATATACTTATTTAATGTATCAACACGAAACGTTAATCTAAACAATCGATTAACAGTTTTCACAATTTTCGACATTAACGAAAAAAATATGATTATAAATAAAGAAAGTTTATCGTCTTTTTTATACATATTAATCCTATTACTTATTTTTCCTAATAATTTAATATGCTTGCTTATTCCATATATTTTATCTACAATTAAAAAAAATTTTATAATTTAATGCGTTGCTTACTATATTTAAGAACAACAAAGCAATGTGGAAATAATCGAATATTAAATAATTCCTTATTTAATTATCAACAATGAGAAAACGACACTAAGTAACTATATTGCATGCAAGTAGGATGATAGCCAATTTGTAGAATTAATACAAAAATAAAATTTCGACTCGGGAGTTTAGTCCGCCGATTTTCTCATAACGAAAAATTCGTTATTGTCTTCTTATTTATGTTATCTATGACGTAAAAAATACGTTTATCGTACTAGTACCATATCATACAGTATTATATCGATAATTTAAAGAAATATTCTGCTTTAAAAGATCGCAAAGAAAATATTTTTCCGGAATTTTTATAACGAAAGGCCGAATGTAATAAATGTTGAACTTTTTATTTCCTTTTAACCTTATTTTAAAAATATATTCTTGATATCTAAGTGACAAAAACGCATATGTGAACCACTATAACAGTGTGAACCACTATAATAGAAATTGAGTAAAAGTTAACAAAGTTGCAAATATCTTAATAGAATATTATTAAATTTTCAGTTCTTTTATAGTAAAAAAAATTAATATTTTAAAATTAAATATTTTCACGAGTTTGTCAGTGGTTCACACGATAATGACAAGCTTACGGAAGATTTTTATCTAAAATTCAGCTTAATTGAACCACCGAGAGTCAAGATGTTACTGCAAAATGACGACCTTGAAAAGGAAAACAAAATATATTTTAACTGTATGTATCATACACTTATGTTGAGTATTTGATCATCAAAATTATATTTTTCTTCTCTTTATATGTTGTATAAATACACGTCAAATAACATTTTCGCATATTCACTCAGTTTGTCATAAAAAATTGTGAAAGAACAAGCACGATTTTCAGGCAATTTGACCTTTCAGTCCCCTTAAGTAATTATTGATATTTTATATGACTTTATATTATTATTTTTATTATTTATATAGATTTTCCTAAATAACAAAAATGATAATATAAAGAGTTTAATAGTTAATAATATATAATAATATACAATAGTTTAATAATATACAATGTTCCAGAACATTCGGTTGATCCATTTTTACAAAATCAATTCCAAAAAATATGATTTTTTTAGAGCGTTATATTAGTCTGGTCCCTCAAGCAAAATTACTCGTATCACGGAGGTGTGTCGGACAGATAGTCACCCGCGCTCCAATTCACTCGTGCGAAATCTGTATGCGAGTCGACTCGCGAATTAGAGTGGATAATTAGTGTCACGAAGGCGTCCACTTCGTAGGTTGTCTCCGCTCCGCTTTTCGAGATGACAGTCAAACGGTTGAAAGCGCATTATATCATGCACTCGACGCGTGGCTCGACATTGATACAGGTGAAATGATGGAAAAGGCTAGTTGGTCTTAAAAAAATATGTTCGATATTTTAGCTTAAGGATTACGATATTACCTGCGCACATCTTCTGTTTCTTTTCTCATCGTACAGTATCGAGTAAGCGAGTCGTCAGTGAGAACACGATCGACTGCTGTTCGAGCATCGTGACGACGAGTGTCGCCGTCACTGTAAAATGATAACATTGCGATAGATAGCATAGGAAATGATAGAAAATAATCGGCGGGAAGTATCGCGCGCGATTCTTTCCCGCCGATTTGATGACACGCGTGTGAGATTCCTCCTCCATCGGAGATATTTCGGGCTGTCGGCTGAATGCAACGGCGATACGATTTCGCAATCACCGTGCGCACGTGAACGGCGCATGGTTTTTACATTAGCTCTGTGCTTTTTTCCCTTTTTCTTTTTGTAAATTACACGTATAATCAACGCAACAAATTGTCAGTCAGTTTGAATGCTTGAGCTTCACGCGAGCGACGCGAACGTTCGTCGTTCCACAGCAGCGCGTGAGCGCCAGTTTTCGGTTCGCACGATGCCGATCCACGGCACTTTGTTCGCTCGAACAAAAAGAATTCTTTCTCACATTGCATTAAACTTTACGGTTTAACGTTACCTGTGCGATGCAAATCTGCCAGCCACTACTATTCATCGTTTTTCGCCCGGCGTCCCGTTGCTTCTCCATTTTCGGAATAATAATCTCAGTCGTTATATATCCTCATACTTTTGCACATCTACGTGTTCCTCACTGCGTGCGCCGACAAAAGAGCTGGAAGTCGTTGGACATGATGACATTTTCCGTGCGAACAATTTCGACACTGTCAAATGGAAACTCGGCACAATTCATTCGAGAGAGTGAGACATAAGACAGCTCATCGGGTCGAATAGAGCGAGAAAGATGTAGAGATGCCTCTCTCTCCTTTCCGTGAACACAATAACGACAATACGGTCGTTTCCGGGAATCTCTTTGATATGTACCTGTCGCGCTGAAGTACACCTGTTGCATTTCCCGCTCGGCCGCCGGGACGATGTAGTTTCGCGCGTGATAAATCGCAATTATTCGCGCATGTTTGTCGGAGTTTGCGAGGAAACGAATTCCGCGATGATCTAAGGTGATCGCTCGGCACATCCGGTGAGGATGTCCCACGTGGGAGGCAAGGGTTTCACGGTCGACGTGAAAATCAGGTTTAAAAACACGGCCATGACGTCATCATCGCGCTTTCACCTCGCAACAGCCGAGGGTACATTACGAAACACGGCAGGGATGAAAGATTCGCGTATATCGTACCAGACACGCGTCACGATTTCACCTCGTTCGATTGTTTCTTCGGTTCTTTTCTTCTTCTTTTATTATCACATTACGATCTTATGACGAATAATGATAAAAGCAATTTCATAGTAAGCAATTTCATAGTAAGAATTACTATAGGATTTTGTAACCTCGAGGAGAATAGAGACCAACATTCTGCAGTAATTTGTTTTTCATTTCATATATACTACTTATATTTTAGAAACTAAAATGTACTATTAAAACACTTGCTATGTTTCTGACAGAATTTGCTATGTTTCTCAGCAAGATAGATCTTATTGGCTATTTCTGAGCTACTAAAAGAACATAATAAAATTGAAAAGAATTTATATGAAAGAAAACTATATTTGTATATGAAAGAAAACTATGTAGGGGAATTCAGCATAATGGGAACTCTAAAGTTTAAATAAGTCTCGAACATATTAAAAATAAATAAATCAACTTGGTTTTACGCCAAAATATTCTTTAAACTATTCACTATAAGAAAAACACAAGTTTTATTCTGAAAGAATAATTTAAAAGGGCGAAATTATCGTTTGATTAAAAGCGTGAATTGACTTCATTACGATCTTTAAACAAGGCAAAATGAAATACTTCACAAAACTTGTCTATTTCCCAATCATTGATTTCAAAGAAATTGTTTAAAAGTTAAGGGACTAGTTGAATACTAGCGTAAGTCGGCAAAACCGATTATTTCTGCTATTTTTTAATAAGTTATAGAATTAAACAAGCAAAATATTTAAACATGTCAAAGATGATTTTGAAATCTCTGCTTACTTGATTCTGAAATCTATTAAAAAACAGTAGAAATAATCAATTTTGCCAACTTACTCCGATAGCCAATTAACCCTGATCTCCCGTACTCATTAAAATATGCATTATATATGTACACACACATACACACACACACACACATATGTAGTATTGTACATTTAATTACTTATAATTATTTATTAACGACACTTATAAAACGATAAAACTGTACTCTTTTCTTATTAAAATTATTAATTTTATTAATATTATTAATAATAATAACAATCATTATATTTAGTATGGTAATCTTTAATATCAATTTTCTGAAACATAGCACATTATAAGAAATAATGCAATTTAAAAATGCAACTTAACATTTTAAAAACATGACTCTGTTATACTCCGAAATGTTTAAGTTAGTACAAAACAACACAGATAATCAATATTTGCACAGACATTTAATTAAAATGATGAGAAAAGATTGTGTAATAACGTTAATGTACACGTTAATATACATAAAACATACAAAGAAAAAGAAAAATTAAATAAAAAGAAAAATTTTATCATTGTTTACCTTGTATAAATATACCAATTGCAACGCAGAGAACATAGCAAAAGTATTAAACAAGCATTATTATTAAATAGCATTTTTCAGCTAAAAATAATATGACAACTGATAACAATACGCGGTAAGCGACATCTAATAGTAATAATTGCAAAACATTTCATTACATAACAGCATCTCGATAAAAAGTTACAAACTATATTCCATTATGCTCTATTGTCTCGTTGCATTCCACAAGTTACCCTAATATTCTCTTCTTCGTATACATAACTCCGGACATAATTATACAATAAACAAATATAATTCTCGGACGCGTACTTAATCTTGAACGTTTTTATTGTTTTAATCCTCAAATGCGAATATTTCAAATACATACATATATATTCTATGTTAAAAGAGTTTAAATATTCGTATTTAGAGACCAAAATAAAAAAAGAATGTCCAAAATTAGATACGTATCAGAGAATTAATATTTTTATTTTAACTGAAACATTTAGAATCGTATAAATAATTAAATCGCGAGGAGCACGAAACTTGCCTATTTTCCAGAAAACTCGTCGGCTTTTCGTCCACAGCGTCTCTAGTCATGTAGTCACTTAAGAGTCTTAAGTATTTTCGGTCGCAGAAAAGATTTTTTGGAAATTGGAGAGAAATAAAAAAACCAAATAACGCCAATCTATATTCTTTTAATCATATATTAAGAACGTATTTTTATTGTTTAAATAACAAAAATACTTCTTTTATATGTTATATTCCGATCATTAGGAGCTCACAAAAAAAGAAATACATATAGGTGTAAGTGATTCTTTTAAGTATCTGAAACGCAAAAACCAAAAACTTTTTTCAAGAGAAGTACAGCTATCGTCTGAGTTAGAATAAACATTGTATGTTTATTAGTTTTGTTTTTTCTCTTTAAGATGCTAATATTTTGCGAAAAAACAAAATTTTTTTTAATAAAAAGGCTGTCATTTTATCTATAATGATAATATTGGTTTAGTTCTAATTTAGATAGAGTTACGTTTCTCCTAAATAAGAAAATTTTGAGTTTTTGTATTTTAGATACTTAAGAGAATCATACCGTCTGTATGTTTTTTTTTTTGTGAGCTTTTAGTGATCGAGTTGTAAGAATATTTGTTTATTGTCTATGTGTATCCCAAAAAAACTTATCTTTTAAAAAAAGATAAAAAAAACTCCAAGTTTTTGTGCTTCGTACAAGAAACTGTAATAAAAAATAATTCGTACAAAAAACTGTAATACAAAATAATCCATACAAAAAATTATATTAAATAATTCGTATAACAAACTGTAATTTTCTACAAAATTAATAATATCAGGAAATTTACGCCAAGTAATAAAAGTAATAAAAAAAAATTATTCAAATTTACAAAAAAACATATATATATATATATATCGCAATATTCGTTTCTCTTATGAGATTCCGGTGTAACAAGGATATCACATGCATATTTTGCACATGTAGACAATAAACTTAAAAGAAGACTTAAAGAATATGCAAAAAATTCGACGTTGTTCAAATACATCCTTAATTTCTAAAAGAGTTATTTAACCGCACAATTTCGCCGCAGTCG